TGAGCCAAAACATCAGTAGTCAGTGTTCCAATATGAAAAGAGAAGTTGGTGTGTCAGTTAAACTTGTGTTCTTTCTGCTAGCCAGCAGGGGGCGACTCTAGCTGTATAGAAATCTGTGGGAAAATTGGCTACCTAGATTTACAACCTTATTAAAGACTTTACTGATGAGTTTATGATTTCAATCTTTATTTTCAAGTCTTCTACCATAGAAGATGATATTCATTTTCTAAATGATGGTCTGTTGTGTCCCTGCAATCCTATTTGGCAGATATGGCTTCCAAACAACAAAATACTCAGCTCAAGGTTTCACAGTGACACCTAGCCAACCATGTGGTGATGTCACAGTAGCTACATCCATCTTCTATATACAGTCTGTGCTGTAAACATTGCAGAGAACAGAAAGACTTTCTGCTTTAACTCTGGCCTAATGTTTCCATTCAGTTCTCTTCTGCACTGAGATTCATTTCAGGTATAATAACTTTTACTTATACCACCAAAACAAAGCCGTTACGAGCCGTGAGGCAGTGAGCCTCCACCACAGATGATCTGATATTAAATGGAAAGAACAGATGATTCAGAAACAGAATATATGTAATTATATAACATTAGAAAGCATTTTATTATGATTCCTTTAATTTGCCTCTGCCCATCTGTGCTGCATCAAACCTTTCTTTCTCTAACTATTTAAAGCAACACAGATTTGAAACTAAATTAGATCACTTCTCCAACATGTAGTTAGTGGCCGCAGATTTTATAACAATGCTTCTTTTCCCATAGCAGCTACCGTTGCTCCGCAATGTGAGTAAAGCAGGAGGAGGAAGGGGAGGTCTGAGGTCTAAATTGACTGTTGTAATATACAAACACCTGACTTACTTTGAGCCTACAGCCTGTCTTTCATTTTGGTTGCGATGCTTGATAGAAACCATCTGGACCACAAGAACCGTGTCAGTATAAAAGGACCTTGGATGAAACAACAGTTTAATCACGCCGAGCTTTCTACTTTTTTGTCAGCTGTCGGCATTCTGGCAAAATCTGCCAAATCTTTGGTTTAGTGTTATAGGTGATGCACAAGTATTCTAAACTAACATGGAGTAGAAAAGTGACACAGGTTGTTCAGTTTGGAGACATGTAGATCAATGAATGTTGACAGAATGTAGCTGTTAGCAGCTCTGGAACTAATCTTTATCATTATTATTAACCAAAGACACTGGGAAACCTCCCAGATATCCTCACTCTGAAACCAGGCACACTGAATTTGTTTTCCTTGTAAGCCAAAGCTGTAATATTTTGTAGATCTGTGGGAGAGCAACAGCCTGCATTTAGCCCCTCTCATGAGCCTCAGCTGACTTTGTTCACGATGATGACATAGCTCTGAGCAAGAGATGCGCAATGGAGGCACAAAATCTGAATATCTTTGATGAAAATGATTTCAAGTACAAAGGCTCACTCTCAGACTAATAGTTGTATGGAAATGGCACATGAGGCACGATTAGAAGGGCACACTAACATACTTGTGAGGTTTGTGTTTACGCTGGCCTCGCAGGTGCTGCAAAGCTCTTGGCCACAGAGGAGTGTTTGTTTTGCTCTCGTCTTTATTCTCGCATCTGTTGTAATTATGTTTAATCACGATTATGTTTGAAGAGTTTTTTGCAGTCTGCCCTGCGGTTGTGTGCTGTCAGGCCACAGCACATTCATTCGGTGTGCACAGGGAGGCCAGCTAAGAGTTAAAATCTGCAAGTTTGCACCCCTGTCACATGGGCCAATGTGATTCTCGACCAAAATGAGAAACACAACTGTCTCGCTATAAAGTAGATTCAGGATTCTGGTATGCATTACTATCCTCCACAGCTTCTTGCTTTAATCTCATCATTACGAGATCCTGAAGTTTTAAACTGTAGCTTCAAATAAATAAAATTATTACATCTGCTTTGTTCTTGATTTAGAAAAGAAACGATACGAACACGTCTCGAATGAGAGCTTCAGATCAACTTGTTGCTTGGCTTGATTCAGAGGCTCCCGCTGACAGACATGTGGCAGAATGACACAGCATGATGCACTAAAGCTGCAGTCTTAAGAGCTTGCTATGCCAACATAAGGACTGCAAATAAAACTAGTATAGTGCCAAATCACAACAACAGTCGCCTCACCTATAGAGGACCCCCCCCCCAGGAACCACAGGTAAACATCTAGTCTTAAAGAAGATAGTGGTTGGCCTTTCCTTCACTGTGAATACGTACACAGTCCTGGGCTTGAAGACTTGACCTCTTGATCTTGAATCTGAAATTCTGAGCTGGGACAGATAATTTAGGTTTAATTTAAAGCTTTTAATCATTTGGGTCTTGGAGTTTCTGAAAGCTTGGTCTGTTTCTTGTTTCAGAATTGTGACATTTATTGTGCACAGCCTGCAAGAATTGCCCTGATTTAAGAAAAAAAAAAAATGGTAATGTCTGTATCAAAGCCCCCCTTCAAATGCTTCTTTTGAAGATTACTGACACAAACTGCAAACACTTCCTCTGTCGGCTATTTTGCTGATACAAAACTTCTCCGGCTTTCTCGTGCTCTCTGAATTATTTGCATCTCTAAGCGACGACGTGCACATGGATGCAAAACAGCCATCTGGCTGCAATCTTGCAAAGCGGAAATGCACATGTTCGAATATATCATTGTGAGAATTGTTTGTGTCTCTGTGTGTTTTTCTGGGTTTACACACAATGGCCTCCATTTGTGTGAAAATGCCTGCGGCTGCAAATTTTGGCCTTGCAGTGAAATCCACAGTCTGCATTTAGAATCTCAAACATTAGCCTGCTGTTTCCTTGTCCTTCATTCTTAGAAACAACATCTGTCTGCATGTACAACAGAGAGAAATGTAGTCACGATGCTGATAATTTAATCCCTTTCAGACATAAATGCTGCAGTTTGGAGCAGACTCCAGTGACTGTAGGTCTCTCGTGCTCTCCCTGCTTGGCGGTTTAGTCTGAGTGTTTGGAGTCTGTATTCTAGGGCCTGCACACTCAGACTGTAATTAACAGTTTACATTTGCTGTTTATGTTCCACTGAAAGTTTCTACAGAAGCAGATCGTCCTGGGTGTCGCAGCCCAGCTCTCTGTGTGGGACTCTGCAGTGATCACTACCAAGCAGGATTAAAGAATGAAGCGCTGCAATCAGATGTTTTCTCATCAGTGTATTTGAAGGGTGACGTGCTGTTACTTTACCATGCTTTTTACATTGTTGTCAAATACCCAAGCTAACGGTGATCCACTACCTGGCACTAATGAAGTGTGTGTAACCACAGCCCGACGTTCGTTTCTTTGTGTCTTGGCTACGTTGTTGGTCAGCAGTGATAAAGACCACCTCAGTGAGCCACACTGCTCAACTTTGACTCACATTTGATATCTTCTGTGATGAATAATCAATTCACAAAAATAGATTTTTTTGTGGAGATGCCCAGCTGTGTCAGCATGCTCTTCATGTCTGTTTGGTCTTTGTCCGGCTAAAGGTTCTAAAATTGTCATGAACAGCTGAACGACTTCCTTATATTTATAGGAAAGACTCTTTGTTTCCCAGGAAATAAAGCGGGAAAAATAGCAATAATAACAAAATAAAAAGACTGACAAAAATATATCATGTTATACACATAATGGCATCGCACAACTTAACCTCCTTCCAAGGTGCATGAAGAAGACAAAGATCTGATGACGTGAAGACTCCAGCAACACTTAAAGTAAAGGGAACAGCTTTATTAGGTGACTAACGCGCTTCGGCCTTCAACTTGGACCCTGATGAAGGCCACAAGCAAAAACATGTTGGTCACCTAATAAAGCCGTTCCCTATTTTAAACGTTGGGCCAGAATTTCACAATTTAATTTTTACAATAGTTAAAAAAAAATATAAAAATTTGAAAAATATAATTTCAATGAAACTAAAGGCAAACTTTAATGTTACACAACTTGAGTGTCTTCGGTGTGATGAAGAGAATCTATATCTGTGCACGAGGCAGACAAAGATGGATTTTTGGTCTTTTTATTGTAATTCACTGAGAATTAGTCGTATTTTTCCTCGTTCTTGACTTTTAATGGCATTTACAGAGAGGAGATTGCTTTTTGTTCTCTGGTATCAGCTCTGTTACCAAAAACAGGACTAATGTGTGGGTGTTTTTTAGGTTATTTCCATGGTTTTGAGAATTTAAAAAGATATTTTTCCATACTTAGAGTGAAGAGAAAGAGGACATTTAGGGATTGAGAGATGCAGAATGATATGCAGCAACTGGTACTGCCAGTATTTAAAGTTCAGATCTTCCTGCTATTTACCCTAATGCTGTCTAAAGTCCGAACAGGCTCATGATCTCCAGAACATGAAAAAATGTGAAAAAATGAGCAAACCCAACTTTCAGTGCAGAGTATTGAAACTTTGGACCCTCCTTTTTTTTTTTTTGTACTGGTATTGAAACAGTCAGGTAATGAACATCTCTGCATAAAAATCCACAGCAGCGTGGATCTTCAAATGCTATGATGCATTTTAGGCCTCATTTAGTTCCATGCACATGTGTGTGTTAGTCTGAGGTTAGTGGAGCCCACACAAGCTCATGACGTCACAGATTGCTCTTAGCATGTCCATCAACCCCTTCCCACCACTTTCTTCTGGTTTCTTGTCCCACAGTGCCCCTTTTTTCCTCTCCTTTGTCTTTCCTGACACTCTCTCTCTCTCTCTCCATAGCTGTATATGGTGTTGAAAAAGAGAGTTCCTCGGCTGGACTCTCTGGTCTTGGCTAATGGAAGCAGACCTGTCTCTTTGTGTAAATATTTGCACAGAAGGATTATAGATGGTCCCACACATTCAAGGTGGAGTTCTACTCCACTCCAGGCCACATTAGGGCAAGGAATGGCTCTGAGCATAGCGTAAACACCCGATGACACAACATAACATCTCACGAAGTCAACTGTTTGAAGCGTATCGGCAGGTGTTGATCTCACTGTCTGTCTCTTTTTGTCGTTTCTGAACAGGCGCCGAGCAGTGACCTCCCTCTCAAACATGTAGACACCATGGTGAGTTTACCTGCTGATTTTTCGCAGGTCCATTCTTCTTGCTTGGTTAGACTAATGAAGGAGCTGATGGATCTGCCTCTGCAGCCTTGGCTGAGAGGTCAGACATACTTGATGTAGAAAAGGTATAAAGTATGAGTGGATGGTTTCCCAGCTGCCATGAAGGACATTCATTATAATAAATACTTCAGAAAAGCCAGATTAAGTCTACACTTGATGCACAGCAGGGCCTGTTGAGATCAAAATCCCACTCATTCATGAGATATTTTTAAACAATATCTCACATCCATCGTCCACAACAAAAACACATATTTGCGCCAGATGATATCACGTTATCTTTTCAGAACACAAACATTAAATCATATCAAACAGGAAGTTCTTTGCTAGGCATCAAGCCACATTACTGTACCAAACAGCTAAGTGGACTCTTGGTTGCTTTTGGTTGTCTTTGATTCATCAAAACAGAAACATTAAATAATACCCAGCTGAAATCTATCGTCGAACCCCGTAACACCAAAGATGGTGTCTGTATGACACATCTTTCGACCCTACATCCAAGTAGTCCTTATTTTCTTTAAAAGAATATATTTAGACAGTTTAACTGCTGGACTGACACGAGTACATCTGGAGTAGAACAAAAAACTGCATAGAGAGGTTACCTGCAAGGCCGTTGATTGGCAACCTGTGCCAAGAAGCACTTGGGTTACGCTAATGTGACCAGTGCAGTGTGCTGGAATGCAAAGTCTGTTTGCACCTTCTCCTGTGCACCTGGAGCGTAGCAGGCGTGCATTTTTTGAGGCTCATGCAGAGGCCTATGGCCCCTTAAGAGAAAGTCTTAATTCTACTGAATGGTACAAGTTTGAGCTTCAAATTGTACTTAAAGTACGTAAAGTAGAAGTACTTTCTTCTGACTCACATCCGTGCTTTTATTGAATCATAGTTGCTGATTTAATAATGTGTTTAATCAATTTAATGTTGAAGCTGTAGATGATTTTAATTACTTAATATATCACGTTGTTGCTTTATCGATGATACTGCATCACTGAATATTAGTCGATTTATATTAAAATATATGATGCAGGTTACAAAGTTCAATATTTGCATCGGAAATATTCTGGAGTAAAGCTAGATGGTAACATAACATGGAAATATTTTGGGGAAAAAATGTGGATGTGTTTAGTGAGAAGACAAGTGTCTGTGGCACGTGAATTCTGGCATCCTTCATCTCCACTACGACATCTGAGTGATGTTCAGCTTACGCAGCGTGAGCGAGATAAGCCCAGCACAGGCAGCCGCACGGCCCGCTAACTATTTTTAAAAAGGTTTTGTCTGTTTACTGTAGTATAAACTCTTTTAAAATGTAACTGAAGCATCTGCAGCTAAAGTGAGTTTATAAAATGAGTTGTGGATCAGATAAATATTATTATCTGTTTAATAAATTGTGTTGAGTATCAAGTGTGGAGCTGTAGCTTGCATTGTTTTATGCAAGGTGCTGGCATGGTTCATTTACACATGAGATGTTAGACTCTGGGTTACCGGGTTAATGAGATGAACGGTCACAACTTAACAACAAAAGTGTGACTTATGCCTCCTTCACCCCCTCTAATCTCTAAATATGAATCAGTAAGGACGTGTGAAACAAGGAGACCCTCAATTTTCACTGCATACACTGTTTGACACAAACCTCCAGTCTGGGGGCTCAGTGTGTGGACTGGATGGAAGTTTTGAGGCGTGACCATCTAATGTCTATGCATTCATGCAACACTGGGCTGCAGCTACATTAGCAGATATGAACAACTTCCAGTATTTTTAAACCTTGCGTTTTTGTCTGTGACTGCTGGAGTATTTGGACATGCTGGTTTTCAGCCCAGACTCCACAGGTAGCGTTGGGTAGTAATGTATTTTAAACACATTTTTTTTGTTATTGTTAGAGTTTCAGAAGAGTTGATATGATTGTTGGTTCTTTTTGCCAACTCCTTGAGAACAATAAATTTCGATGTTCTGACAAAGCACTCAAAAATAAGGGCGGTACATGTTTGCTTTGGACTCACTGGGCACTATTTGTCTCCAACACGACTTCCTGCGAGTTGTATTTTGTCTGAGAAAGGAAGGATCGAGTAACCAATTTAGAGTTGCCACCCAAAGCCGAGTGCCCGCTTTCCCCACAAGGACCAAAAATACACACAAACAGAGCTGTGTGCCTTTTTGGGAATGGTGTGTGTGGCTGCTTATATTGGCGTTTCCCATGTTATCCTTCAGTCACTTGAGACAGTCTTTTAAAAGTCTTGTGAGTTTTTCCCAGTCCGGCACAGTTTGGTCAGCACCTTAAACGAGGGCCAAAGTCTGAATCACACCCTCGGCGTAAGTGTGTGATTAGACGAGTTGCTGTTTTATGCTTACTGTATGATCACATGTCTGTACAGAGTGGACTGTATGTGCTCGAGTGTCTGTTTGTGTGCAAGTGCAGCTGCTGCTGTCTTGTCATGGGCATTTGCTGTGTGGTTACACAGTGACGTGTGGCGGATGTTTGGCCACGCCTCATCGCCTTGGAGCATCACAGAGATTTATCTTGTGACAACAAGACCTGCATCAGTTTCTGCTTGAGCTTTGTTTTTCTTTTCTGCTATGAACATCTTGGCTGTTTTTCTTTAATCAGTATTAATTTTTAAGCTGCATCATTTTACTTCTTTTTCTGATTTCACTTCCCCGACAGATCCCCCTGCCTTCGATCCTCAGCTTCTCGTGTGAGAAAGTTGATAAGATGACACACAAAAAAAGGCACGTGGTTACATTTGTACGGTTATGACTTAGGACGTGCAGCAGTGAGCAGCTCCACTCAGCTGACTTGTGTGTGTTTATGTCTACAAACATGCATCAGTTCCCACATGTTTGGCTAAAGAGACGGAAAGGCTTAGCAATTTAGATCCATGCAAAGATGAGAAAGAGACATGGGAGCGAGGGAGGGAGGGAAAAGTTGAATGCGGGGGGAAGAGAGAGATAACGTGGTGGGAGGCGGAGGGGGGAGGGTGGCCAACGGCAGAGAAAGAGAGGGAAGGGAGAGCACACAGAGGACAGAAGGAACGGGACGAGGAGCTCTGTGGAGGAGTCTGCCCCGACCTCGAGCATGTAGTGGCCCGCTGCAGGCTACGGCCCAAAATAGAGCCCTTTTTTTTCTGCTTTCCTTCTTCTTCTTCTGCTCCTCTGCTGTCAGAGAAAAGGGAGAGGTTTCTTAGAGGGAAGTTCACTGCTGGACACAGAGCAGGGAGAGGCAGCGGGAGCTCTCCAGAGATGAACCGAGGAGGGTCTTTTAGGAGGCGGCTCTCCTCTCTGAGGGGGGCATGGCGATGGAGTACGGGCTACCTTTTCAGGAAGGTAGGATGCGATGAATGAGGGATTTGGCTAAAAGCGGCTCTTGTTGCTTCTTCTCTTTCCACGCTCAATGTTTTTTTCTTCTTTGTCATAGAAAAAGTTTTTGTCTCCTTCGCAGACTTTTACAAGCCCCCAACGTCTTTTCCCTCCCTCCCCCCCCTTCCTCCCTTACTGCCTCACTCTTTCTCAGATGGTTAATTTGTATGGCCTGCTTGTAAAGTCAACCTCCCCAGATGTTTTTCATCTGGAAACAGGGCCTGGAGGACCCCCCACTCTAATTCCCACCTCCTCCTCCTCCTCTTTACCCACTACCTTGCTTCTTCCCCCTCCTCCCTGATGGAAGTTCCCAAAGGAGATGGGATGTGGATTGTGCCGTGTTTAGGAGCTTAATGTCTTTAACTTTGGGAAACTGTTGCTTGTTAAGATTATTTTCTTCTTTCATTCTGTTAAGCTACTCCAATGTGCTCCTGCAGACCCTCCATTCATGAACTCGTCACACATCATGATGTCTTTGAGTTTTTCAGAGGCAGAAACATCAATGTGACCACAGTGAAAGTTATTGTCTTATTGCTGACCTTGGCTTCAATGCAGCGCCTTTACTCTCCCAGATGGTTGCAGTTTAACTTAAATCTCGTGGCTCATAAAATCCTCTGCACAACAATTCAGACTAATTTGAAGCAAAAACTATGAATTAACCGCCGTCTTTGCAGCACAATATAAACGACAGCTCTCTGGCAGTCTCTAATTAAGACTTTTTCGCTTGCATGCTGGTGGCTCCGTGTCCCGTGTTGGCGTCCCTTTACCTCAAGAAACGCTTGGGCTTTTCCTGACCCTGATGCGCGGTAACTCCCTCAGCACCGCTCGGCACAAACACTCAGCCCTCTTCACGCTCTGCGTTTGTCTTTGAACCCTCTCTTTTGGGTACTTTCTCGCTCATTCATCTCTGTCCTCCTCTGGTGACTCGCTGCGCTTTGGAGCCCCTTGCAACATGTTGAAGCACTTAGTCCAAAGTGCAGACAGAGTGGGGGGTGGATTTGCTTTGTGTCACCTCAGTTGGGCAACTGACTCATGTGAACATTTGGGCTGTAGAATCAAGGGGAGGGAAGCAAAGCATTTATCAAAACAAACGGGCCGTTCTGGGAAAATACCCCATCGTCTGATATGTTTGTGTTTGTGCCTATGTATGCGTACGCATTCACGGCCCCCCAGGAAATGTCACAATTAATACAGATACTTGTTAGAATCTCCAGATTCACCAAATAATGGTTAAACTCTGTCTTGGGGTGTCGAATAACACTGTTTTGTCAAAGCTGTTTGTCCTTTTAGTGTTGGTGATGTAACACACCAGGTTGTAGCAACATAGAGACAGTGCTCACTCCCAACCCATCACATTTGGATGCTCATAAAGGTTGTCATGTTAAAACAAACTGGGTAAGCATAATTTTTTAAGGACGCTGCAGAGGCGTATCTTTGCTTTCAAAGGGGACTTTTTCCCTTTGTGTATAATATTGCTGCAGCTGGTATATTCAAGCTCGAAGGATGCAAGCCACTTCTGGCAGAACGTTGGTATTTGATGCTGTGGGATGTTGAAATGCCAGATAATAACTGTAACTGTAAGGTTTGATTTCCCAAGAATTTAGGAGGTTTTAAAGTTGGACCAGAGTTAAGTAACCTCCCCACAGCTGCTTTAATGTCATTTATCACCAGTTGATCTAGTGAAAGCCTTCCACGGTGATAAAAATGCAATTTCCCGGTTAAATGCTCTGGTACGGGGACGTGGAAGCTGCTATTAGGGGAACCAGGATCTCTGAAAGTGAAGCTTTCTGTTGTGTTTAGTTTTTCTACCCTCGATCTTATTTAGTCCTACTTTTTATTTTTCTTAAATGTGTATTTTTATGAACCTGTTGTTTTTAATTCTACTGGTGTGTAGTATTTGTGCATCAGCAGAAGGTGTAGTAATGGGAAAATGGAGCAAAAGGTCATGCTTAGCCCTGACTATTGACATATCTGTTTTGGTGGCTCAGTGGTTAGCTGTCGCCTTATAGATGGCCGCCAACCCTGAGCCTGATCCTGCTGGAGGTTTCTTCCTGTTAAAAGGGAGTTTTTCCTTCCCACTGTCAGCAAAGTGCTTGCTCATAGGCAGTCGTTTGATTGCTGGGATTTCTTTGTATTATTGTGGGGTCTTACCTTACAATGTAAAGCACCTTGAGGTGACTGTTGTTGTGATTTGGCGCTGTATGAATAAAACTTAATCGAACAGAGTAGAAAGAAGGTCCTCTGGCTGGAGTTTCCATCTGTTTCCTGTACCATCATGGCCCAGGATACTTTTGCATAAAGATTTTCTAAAAAAAAATCATAAACAGACAAGCACAATCTCAACCTGAGTCTCCCTTTTAGAAACCTTTTAGACTATTATATGAAACATGAGAAAAGGTTTCACATTTCTAACAGAGTGTCAGTTCTTCACTCAGCGACAGTCGGCTGTTAGGAGAGCAGAGCAGACTAATGCTCATACAGGAAGGTCAGTGGTGCTCTTGACACTGATGGTTAGCCAGCCAATCTGATATAATGGATGATGACGGATAACAGCCCCTTCCTGTGTACATGTGACCCAAACATCACAGGAGAGTGAATAAGTCCACGTGCCCTCTGACCCCCCTCCTCAAGCTGGTCTGAGTGGGGGGGGGCGAGGCGGGCCAGGCTTAGTGGAGCCAAACACAGCCGGTCACTTTCAGCCACACTTCCTCTGCTTTGCTCTATGAAGGTGCCATGTGAAGCTGTTCTCACATGGCGCTACACAGCTTCATATAAGAGACTTCCCCCTCCTTCCCTTCCTAAGGTATAATACACACTCTGCAGCAGTGATCAGATCTTTGTCTTTCAGAGTGTTTATTTTCTAAAGGGATGAAAACTATGTCAAACTCTTAACTGCCTGTTAGACAGTATAACATCACAGGACTGGAGACAGCTGGCTCGAGCACGCGTTTACAGTCTCATTTGAGCAGTAAGAAGATCTGCCGTGTCGAGGTGAAGGTCGTCGGAGTTTTCTGTTAGTATCATTACCTCAGCTACTCCACAGATTGAAGCCTGATTGGCTGATTCTGGATTTTCAGGATTGTTTTCTTTAAAGATCTACATGCGGTATGTTGAAATTATAGTAAAAGGGGAAGTGATGCAGTCATTCTTTCCTCGGTTTCCACAAATAGTTGTGTTGCTGCTCCTATTACATGTGCTGCGGACAGCGCTGAGGGGAGTGCAAATGATGCCATAACACATCTCTAAATTACATCGAGCATCAATTTTCTTTTAAATAATAAAGAAATAAAGTCCAGATATCACACAACATATATCTCAGTACTGATATGTGTGAGAGGCACACAGTGTCTCTAAATATAAGATATTTGTTCTTGCAAATCAAACGTTTGGTTATATAAAAGTGTACAGGAAAATTATGCTCGACTCTTTTGCCGGGGCGATCGTGGCTCAAGAGTTGGGAGTTCGCCTTGTAATCGGAAGGTTGCCGGTTCGAGCCCTGGCTTGAACAGTCTCGGTCGTTGTGTCCTTAGGCAAGACACTTCACCCGTTGCCTACTGGTGGTGGTCAGAGGGTCCAGTGGCGCTGGTGTCCGGCAGCCTCGCCTCTGTCAGTGCGCCCCAGGGTGGCTGTGGCTACAATGTAGCTTTCCATCACCAGTGTGTGAATGTGTGTGTGAATGGGTGGATGACTGGTTCTGTAAAGCGCTTTGGGGTCCTTAGGGACTCGTAAAGCACTATACAAATACAGGTCATTTACCATTTTGATTGCTGACTACAGTAAACACTTTACTGATGAGTTTATGACCTCAACCACTAGTTTCAAGTCTTACTCAGTACAACATAATGCTTATTTTGTAAATTATGGTCTCTATTAGAGGAAAATAAGAGGGTAAAGTAGGTAGTGCTTTAGTTAGTGATTGACAAGTTGTTGTGTGTGCAGCATTCTTCTGATTCTCACTGGGATGCATCCCACGGACCTCCCTAACCAGTCTGTGATTCTGCTACAGCTACAATAATTATGATTTACATTTATGCTCTGCTGTAATCTGTAAAATCAAAGGCTCCATTATTTTCCAAATTTCAGAAGATTTAAATTTACCAGCAAGGCTGAGCTGGTTACATGGATGACTGTGAAGCAGTCATTTTAATAATTCGAACGTCTCTTTAACTGATTTCCTTATTTGGTGTATGAATGTTTTTTAACAGCTTGTTGAGAAACATCTTTGTGTGCATGCAAAGAATACTAATAAAGTTTTTCTTTGTGATTGCAGGGCTCAACAAAATCCTCAAAGAGCATGGAGTCACGGCGCAGGCCATCGAGGTAGCTTCCCTTCTTTCTTGTCTCCTGTCCTCCTCATCAGTTTTGAGTTTTCCTACTTTTCCGCCCTTCTCTCCACGTTTCCCATAAAAGGCTTCATTTGGATTATCGGGCTGCGTTTGTTTAATTATTTTAGAAAACGATCTCTCCTGCTTCCAGCAAAAGTGCAGATTTATAATGAGGGGGGGTGAAATAAATATCAGGCTTAGCTCTGTGCGTTCTCTGCGTCCTGCTTGATAATGTGAGGAATCTGAAAATGAAAAGTTTAGATGTAATGTGATATTGGCCGATTTTTACCAGGGGACACTGTAAAAGCAACATGCCCCGCTGTTGAACTGGACCGCTCGGTGTGTTGTTGGACATAAAGATATCTGGTGTCAGCCTCGGTCCTCAGGGAGTCACACATGTTGTCAGTTGTGTAATTAATGTGTCAGACTTGATGGCACAACACAACTGTGTGCTGTGCGAAGCTTGAATGACAGTTTGGCTCCCTCGCAGCAATTCACCTAGATGATATGAGGTAATAAAAACAGTTCAACATCTGGAACATCAGCATGTTCAACAGCCCATGCAGAGAACGTGTGAGTTCATTTACTGAGAGGATTACACCTGATTTCCATCCATATAAAGGAAAACATTTTTAAGTGCCTAACATCAGAATCATTGACAGTTGTCTGATGTAATCCTCCCGCTAAATTAACTAATCCAGTCAAACTCTGGGTTCAGACAGGTTTGGTACATTCCTATGATCACACTTTTTATTTGCGTGGAGGTTTGTGTTGCTACGCCGTCCTCTAAGCCTACAAATAAAAGTGTTTGGGTAATACTACCTACCTACTTAGTTTAAATAACTAGGTAGTGTAGACAACATGTTTAGTATTATTTAATTTTTTTATCAAAGCTAAAGAAAACCACAATTCTCACTTGTGGTAAACATAACATATCATAACACATCTACAGTGACAGGTTAATTTGACAGCTGTGGTCATGCAACATTGCAGATATTATTACATAAGTTCTTTGATTCTGAAATGTGGTGCACAGATCTTTCAACTGAAGACTTTTAGACATGCTACTTGCAAAAAAGAAGCACTGAGTTTGTTTTCTTTTGCTCTCATTCGAAGCAAATGTTCAAACTACCTAACTTTAAGATAGTTTGTCTTGATCCATGCTGAATCACCCCGGTAAGGATAAATCCGGTAAGTTGATTCTGTTCATCTGGACGTAGCGTTTTGAGTGGGAGAAATGATTCGTCACTCATCCAAGTGAATTCTTCAGGGACTGACGACGCTACGTCCAGATGAACAGAATCAACTTTTTGGGATTTACGATGGTTTATCGGTATAGGTATACAAATGTAACCATTTTCCGGTGTATTTTTGTCTTCATCACCTTCTAGGGAAGCACTGAAATATTTAACTGGTAAAAAAGATATTTATTACTTTTATCTGTTTACTGTTTGGTGCTGGAAAGGGAATATACAATAAGTCTCTCCTGAAAACAGTTGCCTGTTGCTGGAAAACCAAAACAAGCTAAAATGGGCTTAAATCCCTGGGAGGTTGGCGGTCTTATATTACAATTTGTCATTGTGAACTATTCCTTCTGCATCACGTTTATATAATATTTAACATATAGAGGTGAAAAGCATCTGTAACTAATGCAGAGAAAAAATGAATAGCGCATGGTGTTAAGTCGTTTGCTTAAGAAACTCAAAATATTAATAATAGAAAAGGTCAAATCAGTCTAAGTAGCGAGTTTAACTTGGACGAGCCAATTGACCTTTTGGGTCATGAGAAAATATGTGGTAATATGTTTATACCCATCAGGAAGTATGACAAGTATGATTATAAGCTGAAGTCAAGTAGGGTGCTCCGTATTTTGAATGGAAGAAACCATGGAAATCCCGGTTGTTGACTTTTATTGCAGATATCTTGGGGTGTTTTTTTTTAACAGTTAAATGTCTAAGGTTTCTGGATTTAGGGAAAAAAAAGGTTCAGTGTTTGTCTGAATTGACAAACGAGATCAGTGCAGCACTGAAATTGAGCATGCAGAGATAATGCGTCATTCGTCAAATGCGGTATGCAGAAAAGGAGCAATCACTTAATCTCTTCAGCTGATGAGAAGCAGGTTGGCACTCAGCCGGTCAACACATGCTGGTGAATCTGGAATGGGACCAAACCACAGGTCTACAGTATATTGGCTTTGACTGCACTCAGAGGTGAGAGGCATACACAAGGAGATGCAAGAGAGTGAAAAGGAAATGGTGGGAAAGAGGAGATGCAGGTTTAAAGAAATATTTTCAAAAACTTGATAAGACTTCTGTCTCAGCACAGTAGAGACATGTGCGACATATCAATTTCTTTTATCTGAAGTGATGAATAATTTCCAGTAAGTATGTTTTGAGTGGCTCCAGATGTACAGAAAAGAGCAGGTTACAGTATTTGAACAGTAAAGCTGGAGCGATCCCCTCTCCCAGACATATGAGCAATTTCCTCAGGGGCTACTCACAGCTGACAAATGTGGGAAATATGCTGCAGTCTGGCTCCAGACACCTCTCCTGCAACCTCTTCAACTCACTCCCCACCTTCACTGCACCCACTTCACTTCTTTATGGCCTCTTTATGGTTGATATTTTTCTGCAAAGGCAAAAGTCGGAAAGAGGTTTGATCAGTTGAGGTCTGTTTATTGCTAGTGAGACGGTGAGTCGCAGAGGACGCCTGTACGGCTCTACATCTCAGCCTGCAAAATGACTTCAGCCCATATAACTAAACCAAATCCAGACATCTGCAAGGAAATTAGAAAAAAAATGTAACTTGCGTATATTCACAGCAATATTGCATAAATCTTGCATGTGATGATCCTTCTAATAAAAACCCACAAAACCTGATCAACAATCTTTTTGGCAAATATTTGGCAATACAACAGAATATATCAATTAACAAATTTCAGATCAACTCTGATTGCAATCTGCATGTCATTCATGGACTCATCTAGGGACTGCAGATGAATATCTGGTACAGTACATTGTACATTGTTCCTGTGTTTCTAATTAGGTGGAGCTTTTTTTTTTAATTTCCAAGAGAGATTTCAGTAATTATGTGCAAATGGTGGGAGAAACACACACACACACCTAAACTAAACATTAAAAAGTGTGCTTGCACTTACCTCACAATGCTCGTTGCAACAGCTCTTTGGCACATAAACAGGGCTACAAGAGTGATATGTAAAAGTGAGTTTGACAGAAAAATGTCACAAATCAATAAAGACAAGAAAATTTTTCAAGTACGTCTTCAGAGCAATATCAGTGAGAAATGTAAAAGTAACAATGAAATATATTTTACACTCTAAAGACTATAAACACACTGTGGGCAGCACATTTGGGGACAAGCCCAAGCACCAGACGTCCATTGGTACCATACAGTATCATACTATCCCAAAATTATTTAGTAAACATTTTAAAAACGGACGCAGCAGAAACAAAGTGCTGTACACAAAAATAATTACAAGGATGCTGTGTCTGAGGTAAATCTGATCAGTCCTGACCTTTAAAAAGAAGGATTTGTAAAGTAAAATTCATCTTTTAGCAAACATTGAAAAGAGGGATTAAAAAAAGACTAAATGTGATTCAAAAGTGAGTAAACCATCCACTAATTAATAACAAATGACATTTAATTTGGTTGAGAGCCACTCCAGCCATGCAGATAACGTTTTTTTAAGCATAAAAGCAAGTTGATGCCACGTTTTAAGGATCTTTCTTTCATGTAAGCACGACTCATCTAGTGCTGCATGTTGGTCTTAAATGGACTTTTCTCCAATATTTAGCTGTAAAAGCACATCCTTTTCTGCTAATCTCCTCAGATTACTGAAAAAAATAGCTTTTCTGCTCCTTCGCTTTTTAACCAAATCTCTGTATTGTTTAGACATCTGGAAAAGTCAAAGAGCAACACCTGCTCTCATTTTCTCAAGAGCCTGAGAGTAAATTACGGATCAATCAGGGAATTCTGACATCCCTTTCATCTGGGCCTCCTTAATCTCTCCCTTTTAGATCTAATCTGACCAAATGAGGGGGAAAAAAAGACTCAGCAGAACAACAACCAAAACACTTTTGCTCATCACTGATCATCAGTTTGCGTGGTCCAAATATCCCGCAGCCCCCTGGTGTGTTCATCGGATACGTCAAATTCTCCTCGCTCGCTTTTCTTTGCAGACAGTCTAAGAACATGACTTGTTTAATGCAGCAGGGAGAGCATGAACCCCGCTGAGATTTAGTGATGTCATTGTGGATTTGGTATTTATATGGTGTATTGCCTTCTCCATATTAGGATATTTGTTCCATGTTGACTTGAAGAAAGAATGTTGTGTTCTCTTTGCAACACTGCGGACATTCAGTTTACAGATGACGTATGAAGCCACATCATTTTTTTGTTGCCTTGGGCTCCAGATATGTGACTCTGAAGATGTGAAGTTAAAGTACAAACTTGAAATTACGTCAGAAGAAGACGTGTCTTGTGACATTTCTCTGGAAGAAATGACTGTGTCCATAATAATGTTATTGCCTAAAACAAACTGGGACTGCTACCATCTTTAGTAAAGCAGCCCTCTCTGCCCATAAAACATGAACTGGACAGATGTGTATCCAGTATCTGTATAAATTAAACAAAAACTGCTACCTAATTAAAATTGACCAGCTTTCATCCTTTTGGCAGTCTTCGGTTAAAGCCATTCAGCTGCAGTGAATAAATCACATGTGCTGCATTACTTCAGGGTATTAAAGCTATCTTTTGCAGTCCGGTGACCTGCATTGGTTTTTCTATCAGCTGATACTCAGAATTACTTCTTTTTTCTGCAGGAGTGCGAGTCTGCTGCAGGCCCTAGAGGAGAGCTACGAGCTGGACCTGATCTACATCACAGAGCGGATCATCTCTGTCTCCTTCCCCAGCAATGTGGAGGAGCAGAGCTACGCTGCCAACCTGAGGGAGGTGGCCTCCATGCTGCGATCAAAACACGGGAACAACTACCTGGTAGGGTTTCAGAAAAACCGAATAGTTATAAAAAGTCATTATCAGCTCATTTAGCTAAGGTGTAACCACATATTCACCTAACAGAGTGGTTATATAACATCTGCATACTTTATATTGCATGTGATACCTGCCTCACTCGTCGTTGTTCAAAGCATCGCTCCTGTTGCTTTTTGTTGGGCCGAAAAGTGGTTGCCTGCATTTAAACTGTTGTAAATGATTTGTTGTCCTATTATCTGCCAAACAGATCTTAATTATATCTCTCATAAAAGTTATTTTGAGCCAGAAAGAACATTCCTGTCAGAAGTTAGAGGCAGTTCTTGGGGAAAAAGTCTCATTGAGGTTAAAAAAGATGTATTTTTCAAGCAGGATCTGGCCAAGAGGGGAGCAAAAATTACAATAAATAAATAACATAACAGTATAAAGATATTTTAGGTGGCCGAAAAAGTCCTGGATTGATTATATTGGCGGCAGAATAACAAAGATAGTATCATACACCCCCCCCCCCCATGAAAAACATGTTATTTCTTCAGTTACTGGTAAATCCTTTTTACAAAGTTCTAATTACCAATATAAAGCAAAGCTATTAGACATAGAAAACACCCCAAAACTGTGACTTCCTGTATCTGTTAGCAGTGTAGGATATAACCCATGCTGGGCAGCGGGGGCACAACCTCAGTCAATGTGTGCATTTAATCTTTTGCTAAACTTAAACAACTCCAACTTGACACTGCTGTTATCTATTAAGAGTCAATCATATCTTTAAGTCTTTCTTACTGCATTTGCAAATCCAAACACACATGGGTGAAAGGGAGGAAATGAATACACTTTTAGTCACCAAAACTAGCACAACCAGCCAGTTAATAGAGAGGTTTCCCAGCAAGGGCAACAGTTAGTTCATTGACTGCTAACTACATTATTGAGTTACAGGTTGAGTTACAAGAAACTCTGTTCAGGACTGACTCATTCATGATGTGTTGGCTAATTTAACACCATCGCCAGATACTAAAAATGGCTTCGTTCGAGTTTGGGTGATGTTAAAAGCACATGATTTTTATTCACTGAACCACGATGACCCCGCTAAATATAGTCGTCTTTTCTCTGAAGTTTAGTGAAGCATGACTTTGGAATCAAAAACATTAAAGCACAAAGCTAACATTATGTTGCACTGTAACATATAGAAGTAGCTAGCTCTGTCCTGTTTGACAACAATTAGTTTAATCCCATATTTCCTCCATGGTAGTATTGTTAATATGATTTAGACTATAAAGATGCTTTGATGCCTTCTTATTTAGCTTGAAATGTTTTAAAGTCAGCCAGAAATGGAGTTTTCTATCAATTTCTCTCTCTACTTTGTTAGTAATCTATCATAGCTAATAAAACCGGTCAATGAGAGTTGTCATTTCTACTGCAAATGATGAGACAGCTTTTGTCTGAAGTTTTAAATCCCAAATCCATATACACTTTAATCCTTGTTACTTGACTATGTGCATGTAGCATGCCTCAAAAGCCTGCAAAATTCTTCATGAAGCAAGCCTTGACATTTGGTTGCCATCTTGGTCCCGCCTCTTGACAATATTTTGATAGAAGCCCGAAAATAAAATGGGAAGAGAGCCATAGCATTAATTTCAGTGGTCTTTTGAATTGAATTAATAAGGTGCCACCATTGCAACAAGTCAGCTTATGGAGTTTTTTCTTACTGCTAAATATTCCTTAATCTGTTTTAAACTTTATTATTGCCAAGTGGAAGCGTTTAGGAATCAGCAACTCACACACAAGGTGCATAATGCCTAAAAGCTGCCAATAACTACAGAGCTCCAAACCTCCTCTAGGATGAACATCAGCACAGAAGCTGTGCACCAGGAGCTTCATGGCACGGGTTTCCATGGCCCTGTAGCTGTAATGTGTGGTGTATCATTCCCTCTGGCTCATCCCACAAACACACTGAACAAATATGATTCTAACTCAGATTATAGGCAAATAAAAACATATGTACCCTTACCTTTACTATGATAACCAAAGACCGAGGTGATAATGAGTACATCTCATATCATGAACCCCCATGTTTGGTTCAGTTGCTTACTGGCTTGGCTGTACGAATTCTCTAATATTTTCGTATTCAGGATTCCCAGAGTGCCCTGCCTCTCTCATTTAATATCTTGTGTAATATTTATTTGTACTTTTCTTTAGCTCTTCAACCTCAGTGAGAAGCGCTATGACATCAGCCAACTCAATCCAAAGGTACAACTGCCTGCTTAACATCTCCTCTCTTTGTCTTTGTTACTGTATGACCACCGGTATGAACAGCAACCTTTCTCCTCCTCTCTCAGGTTCTGGACTTTGGCTGGCCCGACCACCACGCTCCAGCCTTGGACAAAATCTGCAGCATCTGTAAGGCCATGGACACGTGGCTGAGTGCGGACAGCCACAATGTTGTGGTTATACACAATAAGGTAAGAGTGAAAAACGAGAAGATGCTGTAAAAACAGTCAATGACTGCAGGCAGTAGAGGGTGCTCTCAGGCTCTTTTCACGACCCCCGCTTACCTCAGAGGCTGCAGCTGTTTGTGCACGTGTGCTTCTAATGATGTTCCATCTGAGTGAAACACTGACACTGAGTGCGTCTCTTTGTGTGCTTGTTGGGGCTGGATGATGGTTAGGAAAACACAAATTAAGGCTGTAAGGCATGCCAGTCATCATGGCTACTTAGGTTTATTTACCCCTTTTACCCTTAACAATACCATAAAAACTAAAGTGACCGATATTTTCCTGTTGTTGCCTAAACTTACTTGGATCACATTATGCGCTTGTGGGAAGCCTCAGTGTGCTGACACACACCATAAAGAGTATATCCAATACAGCTACTAGGCTGCCGTCCCGAATGTAATACCTAATCATTTTCACGTTAACCCCGCTCTGTTCCTGATTGTGTTTTGCAACATAGGAATTAACCATGGGATCCTAAAACATTCCCACAGGGAGGCTACTAACAAGTCGGCTGCTGTAGCAACCGCTGTTGTTTTTTTGGTTTTTTCCTGCCAGTCGAGTAACGACAGTTTGGTCACTAAGGAAGCTGACCATGCTGGTTTCCACAAATCATTTCCACTGGGCTCCACGCTGTTAAAGCTGCCGCGATATTTATAATGTGGAACTCACTCATTCGCCACCACGAGCTTTATTTTAAAGGCGGATAGATGGGCTAAAATGAACGCCGTCTCTGTTGACATAGTATCACATGCCTGGACACATATACACGCTCAAATATGCAGACGTTTTTTACAACCAGACGTGGGCCACTTCACCAGTTTTACACAAAACGGTCCGTTTACTGGTCACGCGGAGGGCTCAGCTTGTGAAAATAGTTGTATAATGTTTTCTGTGGCTCTGGAGAGTCCCAATGTTCTCGACTGGGGCCTGGAGACTTATCCAAGGAATCTACCATGACAGAAATTTTTTTTTTTGCCGTTTTTGAATCTCTGCATTCCTGACAGCATTTTTTTTTTTTTTTTTAAAAGAAGGCCATAGTTTAATGACTTTGTATAACATAATATGATAGATTATTTTAAATACAGTGTCATTTGGAGCCTGATTCCAAATAAGAACTTTCTATTGGAAAATTTTGACATTTAATATGCATAAAGTTGATGTGTTCTGAAGTTACGTATACCTGCATAAAGCAACTTTTAACATTCTGTATCAACTTTTCAATTAGCCTATATCAAACATAACTGTCTGATTGCAACAGTGCATATATCATACTTTGTATGTGCACACCTTCAGCTTTAATTCAAGGTGTCTAACAAAAGTATCGCACAAGTATTTAGGAATTTCAGACGTTTTAACACACAGTCACACCCAAATTTCCAAAACTACAACAGATTTTCTTTCTTCAAGTACTTCTGGACCTCAGTGTAAGTGGAGCACCCTGTGGTGGAACTGAACTGTAAATAAGGACATGCCCTTCTTGAAATTTAACAAAAATAAAATTACTTTTAAAAAGAGAACAACCCTATCTAACGTGATACTAAATAATGTTGCAGTTCCTGTAAAAATAAGGGTCATTTGGTCCTTATTGTGTCAATTTGATGGCTATCATTAACCTGGGAATGATATCTGTACCTCTTTGCTTCTTTTGAACTTTGAATTAATTTGATGTCTTTTGTTATATTCTACATGACTAAAATAACCATTAAACATATTTTGACATTACACAGTTAGTGCCTGAAATACCTAGAGAAGAAATCCATAACAATATTGTTTTCTGCATGCTTGACCATCATGAGATGAAGATAAAATTAGCTTACTTGTGCTTGACTGATGTCTTTTCAGGGCAATCGAGGCAGAACAGGAGTGGTGGTGGCGGCTTACATGCATTACAGCAACATATCTGCCAGGTAGGTCTCTGATCCCAGCTGCAGCTGGAGCTAAAGTCACATGTCCCGGCCACTTAAAAAGTGGAGTGAAAGTCAGAAAGAGAAGGCGTGAAGATGAAATCTGGCATTTTTGGAAAACAAGGGGGAGGGGGGGGTTACATGAGGACAGGCTTAAGAAGAAAAACTCAATAAGCCTGCACTGTTCACAGGTTTGAAGCCCACATCTGAAGTACAGTTAAAGATGTGATGAGGCAGAAGGAGGGGGGTTAGAACATGAGACTGAAGACCACCAGTTTAATTCTGGTAAATCAAAAGAACAGTTCCTGATGTCATAATTATAAAAGTGAGCTAAAGTGAGTTAAGTTCTAAGAGACACCGCATCATGCGACTCAGATTATAAGTGAGCTGCTTTTCGTTTTCTGTGTTGGCTTTGTTTCTTAGATAGGACCACTAACAGAATGACCTCCTCGTAAAGAAACAACCAGATGAGCACGAATCAACGTTGTTTTTAAAATGACACGATTGGTCATAAAAAAAATCCCAAAAACGCCGTACTTTCCTGCACAGCTGTCAGGTTCCTTTGTTATTCCATTATCCTGCAGGCTAAGGTAAAGGAGCTTCAAACAGAAAACAACTGTGAAATTGTGATGTGCCAGATGTGCAGGGAAAAGTTGATTTATGGTCAAAGCTTTTGATTGACTCTTTGCATTGAGGTTAAGTAGAACAGCTGTCATTAGTTTCTTGTGGGACGTATAGCATAGTACACTGAACGAAAAAACAAGAAAAATGTTTTAATGACATTCTTTTATTTGTTGTCTTACTTATTCTAAGATATCCACATTTCCAACAGCTGCACATTGTTCTGATCTCTAACAAATCATGAATAGACCTACTGTGGTTACTTCTGCTTTTCTCTCCTCTAGTTATCAAGCTAATACTGTACAGGGGTCATTTATGTGGCATATTTTCTTTTTTTCTAATTTATTCAAATCATGACTTTTAGGAATTAAAAAAAAAGTTTATTCATAGAAAACTAGTAACTTTCTAAGCTGAACTTTGTGTTGCATTCACTGCTTATTTTGATCTTCATTTTTTTTTTACTCATGTCTGTTTTTGTTATTTTCAACTTTCTAATTTTTGCAACCTTACGGCTGCCTTTTTTTCCCCCTGAGAGCTTTTTGTATCAAAGGAATTCCCAGTTAAATAAAGGGGAAAAAAAACATTTAAAAAAAACATTCCAGAAATACTGAAATGGAAATGGACTAGAAAATGTTCTCTAACAAAACTTTATTTCAAAATGCAGTGCCGACCAGGCTCTGGACAGGTTTGCCATGAAACGCTTCTATGAAGACAAAGTGCTTCCTGTGGGTCAGCCATCTCAGAAAAGGTCAGTCTTCCCTCCAATGTTGTTTCAAGTTTGACCCCTGAGTGAACTCTCTCCCTTGTGTCACTTCACTACATTTTTAAAGCCGCATTAATTGATTTTAATGGCCTCCGGGGGGCAGTAGAAGGAATCGCAAACAAAGTGTGAACTTTCAAGAATCGTTTGCACGCGTAGACTTTGAGATTGAGATTTGTTAAGATTCATTTTCATTTGGAGTCGCATTTCTGCTCTGTTATGAATTTTGGTCAGTCTTATTCGCCACTAATTTTTTAAAGAAAGGCTTTTTAGCTGCTATAAGATCCTCTGTGGTGGATTCATAGTTGTGTTCGTTGGTTGGCAGATAACCAAAATCAAAGATTCATAATTGGCAGAACATGCAGAGTTGGGTGGCAGTTGTCTTTGGATCTGTCTCAGTAAATATAGTTTGTGATTAGTGCCACTTTAAACCATTTGATGCATGAAGCTTTTTGGCTCCTTCGACATGACTGACAAGCTAAAGGTCAAAGTGAAAGCTTGTGTCTTGGATTACATGTTCATCCTTTAGTGGTCAAACACTGGGCATCACTTTAATCCCCGCTGCTTCTCTCCCTCTGTTCACTCAGGTATGTGGAGTACTTTAGCGGCTTGCTGTCCGGACACATCAAGATCAACAACAAGCCGCTGTTCCTCCATCACGTCATCATGCACGGCATCCCCAACTTTGAGTCCAAGGGAGGCGAGTATCTCTCACACACACACACACACACACAATTTAGCTTTGAGTCCCTTTCTTAAATGCATTTTTTATGTCCCAGGTTGTCGTCCTTTTCTCAAAATCTACCAGGCCATGCAGCCCATCTACACATCTGGGATCTAGTAAGTCTTAAAAAGCAGTCACACTCAAATGCTTTTACAAGATTCCAGGGATAGCGAGCTCGTAATGGCTCAATAATAAAAACGCTGATTTTCCTTTATTGCCTCTCCTCTTACTCCCCCCTGCCCCCTGATATACACCCACAGCACCCCTCTCTCCAGTTTAGAGTTCTCACTTGGCCCACATTATTGTATTTAGCTAGCTTCCCCAGCTGCAGGTTCTTGTTTCCCCACTTTAGATCCCGTAATCACGTCTAATGTTATTGGTGACTGGAGAACCAATGAAAGAGGCAGACAGGCATCTGTGTGGACGCCTGCAGGGTTTTCATGCCACAGGACCCTGTTGGTTCCCAGGGCCAGACAGGAAAGAAAGGATTCTGTGGCTCTCTGTTGTTGTTTTTGGAAAGAGGGGAGGTTAGGAAAAAGGCAGGGAAAGCTGTACTGTCCTCTGAGAGGTGAGGCAGGCACACATTCTGCATTTACACCTTGTTTGGAAACATTATTATTTAGGACTTTCAACTTTGATTCAAAGGTTGAGCAAAAGTATTGAATTAAGGTTGTTTAGGAATAACAACCATAACATTACCTTGTAAAACGACAGCAACTATGATTAATCAATATATATTCTGACTCAATGATCTCGTCATCTGAAATGGTCATTGGATCCAATATTTCTTAGTTCAGTTTTAAACTCTTGGTCTTTTCACTGTTACTGCTCTTCTTATTCAAAACAACAAAGCCTGGTGATGGTTGCACAATGACACTACATTTCCTGTGAAACAATCAGTGCAGACACATTTCCATACTCTTTAAAGCTTTGGTGAAATCACATTCCTCTTCACTTTCTCTCACATGCTCCCTTTTGGCACTCTCCTCCCTTTGATCCTTCTTTCCCAACAATACAATCAGACAGGCACTAATACCCCAAAACACCACGGGCTACGCTCTGTGAAGGCCACTGTTAAAGGGGAAAAAGGGGTGATTGTTGTTGGCACATGGTTTTATTCAGGAAAGTAGCATCAGAAACAAAAGCTGATGCAGTGGACTTGCTGTCATGATTTCCATAGCAAGAATGATAAAAGCAGGCCTGTCATGTGACTTGTGTTTTTATTTCTCTGCAGTAATGTCCAGGGTGACAGCCAGACCAGCATCTGCATCACCATTGAACCTGGCCTCCTTCTGAAGGGGGACATCCTGGTAAGAACAGCAGAGACATACCCCAGAAGCTAGTGCTGTACAATATAGACTGATAAAAACCTTCAGTAATCTTTCAGCTGTTTGTAAAATTTAAATCATTTGGCTTCCGTGGATTTTAACTGCAAAACAAAGAAACCGAATCTCAACATTTTATCACTGGCTAAGCTCAGTGTGTGAAGCCAGTAACACTGAATGTTTATTGTTTTCCAGAGGAAAAGGGAAAAATATATGGATACCAAATGATAAGGGTAAAATACATGCAGGATATTCAGATTTTTTTATTGGATAATAATAATAATAATAATGAGGGAATCCTGTGTGTGTTTCCAATTGAACGTTGGCTTAATGCACTGAATGCATGTGCTGCAGCAGTTTATAGTAGCCATTTACAGATGAAATGGGGCTGTAAAAACTTGGGGAAAGACAGTTGGACTGAGTCCTATACCTCGGTTTATAGGCCCTCATTAGCACACAATATGTTGCTGGAAACTATGACGTGAAAAAGGCCGTGTACTTCCTTTAAAACAGCATTTAAGGATACATGAGGTATCGCTATAACAGGACATAATCATTTCAAACAAAGTCTCATGTGAGACCTATCCCTGCAACTCTCTCAGGGAGATTCAGGGAATTTTTATGAAATCATTCCTGAAAGATCCTCAGTTTAGCAGCACCTGTGAGAGCCTCTGGTTTTCTTGTGCCTATAGAAAAACTCCACACATCAGCAACGTTTCTGCTTCTGCTGTCAATTGAGCCATAATGTTATCTATGGGATGTTCTCGGGGCTCATAATGTGAGCATGAAGAATTAGAAAGTGAGCACTTAGTTTGTACCCGAGGCTGTTTTGGCCTTCAAAGCTGAACTCATATCTCATCCTTTATTTAACACAGACTAATGGATTCTGCTGAATGCACCGTCAGGCTGAGACACTGCTTGCTGATGCTTGTTATTTTTCAAATAACAGGGAAAATTTGAACTGCTGCCTGAGGAGACATTAGCACAGAGTGCTCCTGCATTTTTAACTGTGATGGTTTTGTATATCTAATTGGTCAGATTAAAGATAATTGCAGAGAAGAACCTCGCATTGGTTTGTTAATTGTTTTAATGATCTTTTTAAAGTTTGCATTTGGGTTTATAATGAAACTTTAAACCTAAAAGACCATAACAAGTTAGGCCATTTCAACATTTTGGGAAAATCTTTAGTGGCTTTCTTGGAGAATGGAGAAGATGGAAGCCACTCTTAATGAGCAGCAGATGGTTACATTAACATAAACTGCATTAGTAAAAAAGTGTCTGCCCTAGTGTAACAAAATCCACCTCTTGGCACTGCTAAAGGTCATTGACATGTACAGTAAATTTTAGCAGGACTAATATCACTGCTTCCATCTGAATTAAGAAGGTAAATAACAGCCAGCTGCACATTTGATTAACTGATCGTCAACCAATATGACCACTTGCCACTCAGACAATATGACCACTCAGCATGTCTGCACAACACCTCTCATACATTCCTCATAATGTCAGCATGGTGGTGGAGGGGTGATGATTTGGCTTGTTTTATAACCACAGGACCTGGACACTTTGCAGTGGCAATCTGAGGCCATCTGTCCGGTAGCAAAAAGTTGACTGAAAATGGGTCATGCAACAGGACAATGATCTCAAGCACAGTAGCAAATCTATAACAGAATTGCTGAAAGAGAAAAGAATCGTAGGCCTGCAGAGTGTCATGAGGGTACAGGAACAAAACTAAATGTAAAAAACGTTTGCTTTTAGAAAAAGTTTGCTAGTCTCTGTGTACAGAGACTTTTCAGTGCAAATATGAGCCTTTTATACACATGAAAGAAGAAATACAGTCATTATGATAAAAAATTTCTTGAGTTTTAATATTGATTATTATATATGGCTTTTTTAACCCTCAGAAAGAACTAAGCTAACCCTCCCTGTTTTTATGCTAGGCTAAGCTAACCATCTCCTGGCACTAGCTGATCCCTTTGCCTCTCTCACTATCAGCAAGAAAGCAAATAAGCCAGTTTCCCAAAATGTCAAACTCTTTGACATTTTGGGAAATAGCAAATTAAAAATAACCTTTTCACAAATGAGGGAAGAACAATTTTGGGATGTTTAAAGCCTCTACCTAAAAATGAAAATTGGTCAAGCCCTGAAGGCATGTTAGCATAAAATTAGCAGAATAATATTTTGTAATTAAACTTGACTCAGCAGCGGTAATGGACCACTCAGCAGGACCTTTACGATATCCCAAAAAGCTGCACAAAACCAGAGGATATTTTACTTTTATTCCTCAGTCCTAAACGTTTTGGTTTTATGGTTAACCCCACAGTCAGAAAGTCGAGTCAGTCAGTCCTTTAGCAAAAATCGTTAATTTTAGCTGCAGCTGAATTCTTTTTAATTTCTTTGTCTATATGCAATAATCTGTTTGTCAGTTTTATTATTCTTTACATCCACAGTAAGGAATGATTACAGTTCTTTGGTTTCTTTCAGTGAATGTAAAAATGAGGCCTTGTTTTAAAAAAAGGCCGCCAGTCAGGAAACAGCAGGAGTGAGAGAGCCGATTTTCCTCAGTGTGGTTTTAACATTACTCTTAAAGCTGCTGTATTTGGAAAACCAGTTTGGATAATAATGTTTGTGGATGGTCCTTCCATTACAAGGGAAACAGATAAAAAACTAAAATAAAATAAACATAGAGCTACAAAAAAAACAGCGTAAACCTGAGCCAGCAGGGAATCAGGCTGCTGTGTCTCTTTGCTTGCACTCAGTTAAAATCCTGTGAATTGAATCCTGTGAAACAGTATTTTTATATATTATAAAAATATTATTTTATTATAAATTATTAATAAAGAAGCATTACTTTTGCTTGTTTGGTATGACACCCAGTTATGATCTGCTAAAAGAGATTTATGTACTTGCAAATTAGCCTTTTTTCTTTTTTAATCGCCCTGCAGCTTAAGTGCTACCACAAACGCTACCGCAGCCCATGCCGAGATGTGATCTTCCGGGTACAATTCCACACCTGCGCTGTTCACGACCTGGGGATTGTCTTTGGGAAAGATGAGCTAGATGACACATTCAAAGGTAAGACTTGCAACTCTGAAATACTACTGACAACAGCATTATAATGCTCCTGCAAACAATGAACTTATACCTATTAGTAAGTAAAACCTGAACATCTGAATGGGCGTATAATCTTTAAAAACTGCACGTGTTTTCTAGTGTAACAATATATGCATCTTTAGATAAAAAGAGAAAACTCTCTCTATTTATTTTTTAATTTTTTTCTTTGCAGATGATAGATTTCCAGAATATGGAAAAGTGGAGTTTATTTTCTCCTTTGGACCAGAGAAAATACATGGTAAGGATCAATGTGTTGGGTCTTATGGCCATACTAAGCATTTTCCATAACCATACTACACTCTTATACATAATTGGCATGACTGAGAAAATTAGCTCACTCTTATACGCCCCATACAACAGTGACTCCACTGAACTGTAAATGGAACCATCCATCTCTCTTCTAGTGCTTATCTAATTCTGGGTTGCGTTGGGGCTGGTGCCTATTCCACCTGTCAAAGGGTGCAACGTGGGGTACAATTCGGACAGGTTGCCAGACTGTTGTTAGTCCAGCTCAGCTCAGCAGAGTTTTACTTATATTGTTTTAATTTACAATAACTGTCACCTTGCCTCAAGATGCAGATCCTTCAGTGTTAGAGAGAAAACTCCAACAACATGATGATCCTTGAGGAACAGTAACTTGGTGACAGTGGGAAGAAAACAAATCCCTGGTAACAGGAAGAAACCTCCAGCAGAAACAGGCTCACCAAAGAGCAACCACCAGACCAGTCCATCTTCCATGTGTAGTTTACGGTTTCAGGTAGAAAAGTGAGACAGGATGATAGCATGCAGCAAAAGAATCCAGCCAGGTTTAAAGAAAAAAAGAAAAAAAAAAAAAAGCTTGTCAGTTTAGCGCAGGGTCTTGAATGTAATCGAATAGGGAAAACAATTATCTCAATATGAATTCTGAATCTCAATTTTTTTTCCTTGATTCTGATAAAAAAAAATAGCTTTTCCCTTTTCCGGATGTAAAGACATTCACATTTTCTGCTCTGCCTCTTTGTACTTCTGGTCAAGGTGTGGACCACCTGGAGAACGGGCCGAGTGTCTCAGTCGACTACAACACTCAAGATCCCCTGATCCGCTGGGACTCCTACGAAAACTTCAATCAGAACTGCGAGGACACCACAGAAGGTGAAAATGGTAGGAATGCTTATCCTTCAAACTTTACCATGTAGAATTCAGGTGTTACAATGCATCAGATCCACTGACTCTTTATAGATGTGCCATATGATAGTTCTCAGTCAGATTTCATGTGAGATTTATGGAATAATTTTCTTACACAATTTTCTAATTTATTTTTAACTGTGTGGATTATTGAAGTCATGGACTAAATCATGTGCCGAACCCACCGTACAGATACAGAGGACACATTCAGATCTTTTCCATTCAGACATTTTGCCCTACAAAACTTTGCCCTACAAATACCAAAAAATAACCCCAAAATTGCATTACCAAGTTTTTAGGTTGTAAATGTAAATGTTGGATTGTATTTTGAAAGGAAGGAGAGGCATCGCTACCGCTGAATTCATTTGTGGTGAAATTATCACCACAGAGAAACCGAGGGCCCCTTGGGACCGAACTCAACTGATTTCCAGAGCACAGTGTGAGACATTCCTTGGTTCAGCCACAGGCATGGACAGAAGCTTCCTTTTGAGGGAGCCGTGGTCACTCTGTGACCAAAGTGCTGCTTTCTATGCCACCCAAAAAAGGAAGCAATGTTACGCCCTTAGAAACAGCACCGTTAGATGGGTTTGTCTCGGATTTAACAAACAACAAAAAACCCCAAGAACACCAAGTCCTTCAAAGAGAGGAGGAACCATCCAGCTTGTTATCTGTTGGGGTCCCAGTTAAAGCAGAACGATGTGGAGCAACATATGCTTCCATGCATGTGGTGTCTTTTTCAAAGAAGCCCTTGCATACTTCAGCAAGACAATACCAAATCACTTTCTGCATGTTTTAAATAGCAGGGCTCAGCTGTAAGCAATATTATTCCAATGTGGAAGCGTTTAAGAGACATAGCAACTTAACCAGGAAGCGGAAGACCATGTAAAGGTATAGAGTGGAGTCACCACATGCCGAGGAACATCATCGTGTATAAAAGTCACCAACATTCTGCTGACTCAGAATGTAGGTTAGTAGTTCAAAATCTTCTCTTTCATTAATATCAGCATAAAAACTGTTTCCGGGAGCTTCGTGGCAGCTCCTGTAGGTGTACTGTGTAGGCGGGCCAGAACTTCTGTCCATGTGGTGTGTAACAAAAGCAGGTCCTGGACTGCTGAACAGCCACAATCCAATCTTGAGCAATAATAGCAGAGCATTTGGCTGTCGGAACTACAGCACATGGTCTCCACAGTTCTAAAACTCTAACTTAGTGTGGTTAAAAGAAGAAACATGTTGCTGGAATCAAATTCAAAATTACCATATATATTTAAAAAATCCTAAAAAAAAAAAAAAAAAAAAGATCTTTTACTTTTAACTAACATTTTATACAACATTCCAGCATTTTTTTATTAGCTGCCCAAATAGTTAAAGGCCAGAGGTCAATTGGCTTCCTTCTATCACTGCTCATAAAGTGTCTACCCAACACTTGGCGGCAGCTTGAAATAGGCCCTACTAAAATAGAACAGGTGTAAATCTCCGCTCACTCTGTTTCAGTGAAGGTGTGTGTGTAAATTATCTGTGTGTCCAGACCAGTCCGGTCCAAGCCGTCTGTCTCATCTTGCCTTCTGTCATCTGATGATGATACTGTGGTCAAATCTGAATTAGAATTTAATGAGATCACAGACTCGCGCGCATGATATAAGTAAGCATCTGCACATGTGGAACACACACACACCCACACGTTGTTTTTTTAGCCACTCGAGTTTGAAGTAGTCGATAAGACTTCAAAGGTGATCCCTTAATAGCCTTTTGTGCTGTGACTACTCGGCCAGCACCGTCAGACTGATGCACGGTTTCAAATGAGCTCAGTGTGGAAATAGCTTTTAAAGAAAAAAAATAATTCGCAGACTAGATAGGAAAAAGTGTTTCCAATAAATCAAAGTGTTTCCACTGTTTTTTGGCTTCACACTTGTTGGTGCTGAAAAGGCAATTAACTCCTTTGAAAGAGTGACTTTTAGAGCCGAAGGGAAAAATAGCTCTGGATTTACATCTCCACGAGTCTTAGAAAGAAAAAGAGTTGTTGTTGGGTTTGCACGCTGTCGGGATCACTGCTGGGAAAGCACAAGGCTACTTGCATGAACCCTTAGCTTATTAGGGCACTACATAAAGCTTCAAATTATAGGGCTGATGTTTTGCTGGGATCAACTTTGGGTAAGTGGTGTCTCTGTGGCTGTTAGTTTCCAAAGATTGATGTTGACTTTTATTATGTTTATTGCATAAAAACAGTTTCAGCTGCTGTGGGTTAGTTTTAGCTCAGGGATTCTTGTCATGCCTGCACCTTGCATCAGCAGAACAAGCAACATCCAAAACAACACTTACACAACTGACTATACACAACTATAACATTACATGCACTCAAAAGCCCGATTTAGACATGAGTAGTATTACCTGTAGACCTCTAATACTTTGTAATAAAGTCAACGGTCATCTGTGGTATTACTCCCATGCAAATTCCTGTGCTAGCCTACAGCACTGTGACTTCAGTTTTTCCTTCTTTCGTTATTTATTCCCTTAGTTATGCAGTGTTATAGAGGTGTGTGGTAAATGAGAGTTTGGACAGGACACAGTTTGTGTTGCTTCATAGCCTAGTAAAAAAAGTATGGTCAAATATTAGAAAGGCAGTCTCTCATCGGATGATGAGTTTGGACAGCATGCATGTCAATAACTAAGGTACATTTTGCCTTCTTTCAGTGGTTCAGCCCATGCAAATGAGCCAGTCAAATTTCAGTCATGGTGGAATAAGTTCTGAGTCTCCTGGTTATATTTCTTGAATTATTCTCATTTACAGCCCCATATTTTATTCCTGGAACCTGCTAAAGTGGCTTTGAATAATTCAAATGCACCCTCAGTTTATCTTTGCTCTACAGCAAGCCATTCAAACTCCTCTCCCTTCCACGACACATTCCTTTGAGCCAGCTTCCTTTCGATTGGCTGCTCCTTGCAAAACAGAAGGTTTTAACAGCAGATGGGTGAAGCTGCTGTGCATGCAGAGCTGCGAAGACCACACTGGGGTTTATCTATTCTCAACCATCGCTAAGATCCAAGAAAAGATGAGAAAAACTTTTAATCTTACACTTTGACCCCTTCATTCAGGTCATCATGAGCTCTCAGCCACAGCTTTGTTTGTGTGAATGTCTCCTGGTGTTCACGATTAGGTAAAATATAGTCAGAGAAGTCAAACAGCGCAACCTAAATCAGACTGAGAGACGGTGCATTGCAGGGCATGTCAGAAGTGACTTTTTTTAGCTGCATCACAATGATTCATTAGCTCATTCATTAGCTGTCTGGCTAACATATCACGAGTATTGTCCAACCCAGGGAGACTTGATACTTTACTTTTTGGATTTTTTTCCTCATTGCTTGAATTCTTTGCAAGCTTGTTGCTCTGCAACGGTCTCGTTACTTCAGGAATCTGTGTGAGGAGCCGATGTGCAGCACAGCCTGAACTCTCAGCTTCAGTGAAGGCTGGATTGTATTGTTTATTTATTTTTGTACTGAGTCCTTTGCGGTGTGACGGACGTTGTGTGTTTTTTTTTGTTTTTTTTTGTTTACTCTTATGTACTCATCTCCTCAGTTGGCCAACCCTGCTATATTTCTGAAATAACTGGAAAGAGAAGGAGGAAGAGATGACTGATAAGGAGAAAAAGAAATCGTGAGAGATGTATCTAGAGAAAAAATTGCAGAGGCTGAAGAGAGATATTTTTTTACGAGACAGTTAAAAAAACAGTTTATTAAGTAAAGTGTTGGATGAAAAGTTGTTGGAATAGAGGGATTCCAGTGTGATTAGGGTTTGCCTCAGAAAAACGTTTTGCATATATTCCGCTAGGCTTGTGAGCCGCAGTTCAGTCATTTGGTCCAAACTTTGGCCCTTTTAGTCTTCACTTTCCCTCTCCCCCCATGTCCTCTGAGGAGTCGGAGGAGTTAAGGGCAGGACTCTTCAGCTCAACTGTGAAGCTCTTTTGTGCACACATTCACAGGAGGAGGAGTGACAGAGAATGTCAGTGTGGGTTTGTGCACGCTGCTGCTTAGCAGAGAGACTTTCTAAGAGTTACACAGTGAATTTGTGTCCGGTGCTTCTTCAATTTCCCTTCACCGTGACGCCTTTTTTCAAGCGTTGATAGCTGTTGAAGAGTTCAGCCGCGAACCTGTGTGCAGTTTGCTCTTCGGGTGACTCCGGAGTGAAACGTTGTCACTAATTCAGCAGTTTGACGTCTCTCACATGTGAGTAACGTGGAAATTTGAAGGCAATCACAGATTTGATTTTCACAGTTCCTGACGATACTTATTGCCCTCAGGTTATATATTATCCAAACACTTGACCATGTGACCTATTTGTTAATGTTTCTTAGTTCTTCAGCTTCACAAGGAAACTTATGTTTCGATGTTTAATCTTTTACAAATGCTTTTATTCCACAACAACAGAAAGTTGTGTGTTTTTAGGCTCTCCATTTATGGAATTTATGAATGATTCCTACTGGGAGAAATCATCATGGAACTTAAAAGAGGGGGAGATGAGCATCCTTGAAACAGATTTTCTCATTCTTCTCTGGTCAGTTACATTGTAGCGTTCCCACATCTCAGCAAAACTGTATGAGTGCAATAATGTCTCAAGATGAAGGGTGACACTACATGTTTTGCCTGGAAGCTTTGAGACACTATAGCAAATTCTAGAAACAAGAGGACTCAAGTGTCCTTGATTTGTCTGCAGAAGCGTGTTTTTCTGATGCTGTAATGTTGCACTTTATCCAGTGCCCAAATAAGCATTTCCCTGTATGCTTTGTACTTTCTCTGCTGGAGGTTAATGCTTCCTCCTTGATCCCATGCGCATTAGTCACAGGGAGAGACGTGTGTTCCCGGACCAACAGCTCGGAGTCCAGCAGAGGTGGATCGTGCCTGCGCTGTGGGCACAGACGATTTGTTAGTAACTTCTTATAGCAATAGAGAGGGCTTTATAGTTAAGTCTGTATTTGTGAGCCACA